AATTTGTTGTAGGATCCCACCCTATTATTTACTGAGAAAATAGAGGCCATCCGTTATGAGTTAACTCTTCTACATTTCAAAATATCTTAACCTCATCCTCCATTCTCTTTTCTTTTGCTCCAGATGGCCCTTCTCCTCACCAAGGCCCGTAGCCTTCTTTTCTTGGCCCTTCCATTTTCCTCTCTTTCTCTAATCTTCAGTTTCTTTCTATATTCTGCTTCCTTTAAACACGTTTAGATATCCCTCACCCCTAAAGAAGCAAAACAACAAAAAACTTTCAATGGACTATATCATTCCCTCAAACTACCATAACTGTACTTTTCTCTTCCATAGCCAAATTCCTAGAAAGATGTCTACACTCTTTCCTTCCATTTCCTCCCCTCTCGTCCTTTCTTAGAGCGTTCCAATCTAGCTTCCTATCTTATCATTCAGCTAAAACAGCTTGTTCAACATGTGTTGACCTTTAAGGTTCACAAGGATCTCTTAATTACCTTTTCTCAACCCTGTCTTTCTCGTCTTCTCTAAAGCTTTTTGCATTTATGACTACTTCCTCGTTCTGGATGCTGCCTCTTCCTTTGGCTTTCATGACACTACTCCCTACTGGTCCATCAATCTAACAGTTCCCTCTCAGTCCCCTTTGTTGAATCATCCTCCATATCTTGTTCCCTAACCGTGGCTATCCCTAAAAGGTTCGATTCAGCTGAGCACAGTCTACTGGTGTCATTGTTGGTCATACTGCTGGTCTAAGGGGATTTGGAACTTCTAGGACCCTGGCTTTTCTTGGGCTTAGGCAACCAGGAACCTATGTCAATGGCCCAGGCCTTTCGTTCCCTGAACCATTCAAGTCACAAAGTCAATTTTAATACCTTTCGAGGAAAAGATACCACCTAGTCCACATGGCAGAGATCCTGGTAGGTATTTCTCCTATGACTTCAAGTTTTTTTTCCACTCTAGCCTATCTTCCATATAGCTCCCAAAGTGATCTTCCTTAACTTCAAATCTGATCATTTCACTCCTGGCTACTCAATAAACCCTGGTGGTTCCCTATTGCCTCTAAGACAAAATATTAACTTTTCTGTTTAGCTTTGAAAAGTTGGTCCAAATCTTTCTTCCTACTAAATGACTCCCTGCCCCATACTCTGCAGCATAGACAAACTGGTCTTCTCTTATCCTGATCCAAAACCCTTCATGTTCCATCTCTGGACTTTTATACTGACTTTCCTTCATACCTAAATACCCTTTCCCCCTCATTTTCACCTCACAGTATCCCTTTAATCCTTTAAGGAATAACTCAAGCACTTCTATTAAAAAGCTTCTCCTGATCCTCTTCTCTACCTCCAATTGCTAGTGCCCTCCCTTCCTTAAAAACATATTTAAATGCCTTGTATGTGTTTGTATTTATTTCTTTATATTCTATATATATTGAGTATGTATACATAGGTACATACATACATACGTACATACATACATACATACACACATATATACATACTTATTGTCTCTCCTGTTACAATGTGAGCTCCTTAAGACTTGGGATTGTTTCATCATTTGGATTTGCATCCACCATACCTAACATAGTGCCTGGTACATAATGGATATTTAGGAAAGACTTGTTGGTTGATTGACTAGCAGATCAACTCAAAACAGAAGCTATTGAAATGAGCAACTACCATGAGAAGAAGGGCTAAACTCAATTGAACATGATATGCCTTATTTGCAGTCATCATAATAGCAGCAGGCACGAGCAGAACAACACACCCAGCAAAGATGCCATGAGACTAGTGGGGAGCAAGCCCAGTGAGAACAGCATGAGGACATCACCAAAAGATATGAGTGCTCCTCTACCCTTGGAGGTATGTTTTTCTTTTGATGAATGCACCCTCTTCCATGTATGGATTTCATATGAGTCTATGTTTCTCATTGATGGTGGATGTGTTTGTGAGAAAGTATCTAAAGTTTACAGTGGAAATATTTTATTATGACTTTATTTGCTATTCAAGTAAATTTACTATTTAAGTAAGCATAGTTTCTTCTGACTGACATTTCCCCCAATACTCTAATTTCCCAGTTCTTCGGTCTCTACAACTCCCAAGACTTAAGCCTTCACGTTGGAGAGGGTCACATCTTGGTCTTGTCGCTCCAATTACATGGTCAAGTTCTTTCATTTGATCCCAGTTTGCATCATTCCATCTCTTCCTATGCCTCACTCTCCCCAAACCTATTTTTCATCCTCACCTTGGCCTGCAATCTCTCTATGCATGAGAATTCTGGCAGGCCATCACTCCTGCTCTGACTTCCTTTCCTAAAATGGATTCCTTTTTGAACCAGTTCAATTCTTTACTCTTCTTTACTTGAGGTCCTTGATCCCTGGTCCTAGCATATCTCACACCTCACCAAACCCCAATCCTTAATTATTCCCATCTTCTCCCTCTTCTACTCTTGCTCATGTGCTACTGAATGAATCCATGACAAATTGATATTATCTATTCTCAGATAGGCTTTCACTGTAGCAAAGCAATCCTTTTACTTCTTCCTATTCAATTCTCTATCCCACTTCCTATCTTTATTCACCATGCTCTCACCTGATGCTCTTGCTGTGCTCTTACTGTGTTCCTTCTCCAAAAAATCCAAGGTTATCCACCTTAGACTCTCTCTTCTCCTTTGTTCCTCACCTGATGAGTCTACCTCTCATCTCACAATCCTTTGACATTTTCTTCTAGTATTTCCTTTTTTCCCAGTCTCTGATGAAGAGGTGATACTTTTCTTTTTTATATAATATTTTATTTTTTCCCCAATTGCATTTTTTAATTTTTTTAAAAAAAAGTTTTGAGTTCCAAATTCTATTATTCCCTCCCTGTTCCCCTCTCTGAGATGGTAAGCAATACGATATAACTTATACATGTGCAATCATGTAAAACATTTCCAGATTAGTCATTTTGTATAAGAAGATTCAAATAAAAAAAAAAAAGAATGAATGAATGAAAGAAAGTGAAAAATAGCATGCTTCAGTCTGTATTTAGATAGTATCAGTTCTTCTTTGGAGGTAGATAGCATGTTTCGTCATGAGTCCTTTGGCATTGTCTTGGATCATTGCATTGCTAAGAATAACTAAGTTATTCATAGTTCTTCAACATATGATATTGTTGTTACTGTGCACAACGTCTTCCTGGATCTGCTTACTTCACTTTCCATCAGTTCATGTAAATCTTTCTAGGTTTTTCTGAAATGATCCTACTTGTTGTTTCTTATAGCACAATAATATTCTGTCACAATCATATACCACAGCTGGTTTAGCCATTCCCCAATTGATGGGCATCAAGAAGTGACCTTTTTCACAAAGGTCAACCCTTTGACATGCTCACTTGACCCTATCCCTTTCCACTTTTCCCAGAAGATTAATCACGCTATAATTCCCTCTCTCTATCATTTTCTATCTCTCTGCTTTCTACTGGTCCCTTCTCTGCTGTTCACAAAGATGTCCAGACTTTCTTTATCCTCAAAAGAAAACACTCACTCGATCCTACCATCCATGCTGACTGCTATATTGCTTTTCCCCCCCCCAGCAAATCTCTATGTCAATAGTCAACTGCCTCAACTTCCTCTCCACTCACTCTCTTCTTTAACCCCCTAAAATATGTTTTTTGACTTTATTACTCAACTGAAATTGCCCCGATGGCAATTCTCACCTAGTTGCCTTGCTGTAGAATGGGAGAGGGAAAGGGGAAAAGAGGGTTCCAATGTTAGTTGGGTTGAAGTGAGAAGTGGGGAGAAAACAGGCAACCACAATTCAGAGACTTTCAGGAAGAGGAATTAGGTCTGGTATATAATATATATATACACACACACATATGTGTGCGTACATATAAATATATAATATATATATGTGTGTGTGTGTATATATATATATGTATATACACTCGCACACACATATATACATATATAAATATATAAGACTGGATCCTGGGTGCTGGTAATACAAAGATGGAAAACAACACAGTGCCTGTCCTCAGGGAATTTATAGTCTTATGGGCAGCAGAGAATGACACTGAAAAGATCTATAAAACACATAACATTGAACTTTGACTTGCAAAAGTTGAAATTCTATTTGGAATTTGACTCTTTCAGCAGTAGCTGGTTCAGTGGATAGAGCACTGAGCCTGGAGTCAGGAAGACCTAAGTTTAAATCCAACCTCAGACTCTTACTATCTTTGTGACATTTAGCCTCTTAATCTGTCTCTGTTTCCTTAACTGTAAAGTGGGGATGATAACAGCACCCACCTTGTAGGATTGTTGTGAAAATCAAATGAGATGATATTAATGAAGTGCTTAGCACAGTGCCTGGTTATTGCTGTTTAGTTGATTCATCATGTCCAATTCTTTGTGACCCCATTTGGGTTTTCTTGGCAAAGATACTGGAATGTTTCGCCATTGTCTTCTCCAGCCCATTTGATAGATGAGGAAACTGAAGCAAACTGTGTTAAGTGACTTGCACGGCATCACACAGCTAATAAGTGTCTGAGGCCAGATTTAAACTCAGGTCCTCCTGACTCCAGGCCGAGTCCAGGATCATACAGGCAATAAGTGAGGTCAGATTTGAACTCAGGTCCCCCAGGACCATCACTGTATCCATGTGCCAGCTAGCTGTCCCTACCTGGCTTAATAAATGCTAATTGCCTTTCTCTTTCCGTTTTGAGCTAAAAAAAAAAAGTTTTGTCAGGGAAACAACAGGACGTATTAGAAGTGTAGATGTTCTTACTTCTGTTTTCAAGACTAGCTAGAACTATAATGTCTAGGGGGTACATCTGAAGGGGGAGCTTTATCAAAGAACTTTAAATTCAAAACACATTCAATTCCCATAATTCAATCAATTCGTATTTATTAAGCATCTACTCTTCACAAGGCACCATGACTAGGTACTGAGAATAAAGACAGAAACAAAATTCTGTAGTCCTTACCCTCAAGGAGTTTATATTCTCCTGAGGGAATATAGGGGTGGGGGGGTGGGGGAGTGGTTTCTGCCGAGAATGAGCAGCCTCCTCAGCTGATGCAATCCCCATGGGGAAGAGGCTTAGGAGCCTTCCTCTGAAAAGGCACGATGACACCATGCTTGATCACAGGCCCTGCCGGCCCCCATTCCACCAGTGCACTAGAACACAGACAAGGAAACACAAAGTACACACGAAGGATTTTCAAGATGTAGAAAATGCTATCGATTTGGGGTTGGGGAAGCGATCAGGGAAGGCCTTGAGCTATATTTTGAAGGAAGCTAGGAATTTTAAGAGGTGGAGACCCTACCATTAATGCCACTGTTAATGCCATGGTGCCTCCTAGTGGAGGCATGAATTCCATGGGGCAGGAGATAGAACTTCGTGTGTAGAGAATAGCTGGTAGAGATTTAGAGTTGCAGTAGAATTTCGTGGTCATCTAGGCCGGTTCTCCCATTTCACAGATGAATAAACTGAGACTCAGAGAGGAAAAAGGTCACAGTTGTAATAAGCACCATAACTGGGATTCAAATCCAGATCTTCTGATTCTCACCTCCAGAGTTCTTCCCAGGGCACCAGCCTGGGACACACACACACACACACACACACACACATACACACACCACACACACACACACATATATACATGCATATGTGTATGTATATATAGACAGACAGATAGACAGATAGATAGATAGATAGATAGATAGATAGATAGATAGATAGATAGATAGATAGTTAATGATATGCTGGTAAATGTTTAACGACCAGATCTCTGTAAACCAATACACTTCTAAGTTTAATCTGCATTATTAAGATTTTCTTCATCACTTTCTTAAGTCTAAGCAACGAACAAAGTAATGAATCAGATATGAGACAGCTCATCACACAGTAGATAGGCTGGTTCCGGAGTCAGGAAGACCTGAGTTCAGATCCATCCTTAGATGTTTACTAGCTGTGTGACTCTCCACAAGTTACTTAACCTCTCTTTGCCTCAGTCTCCTCAATTAAGGGGTGGAGTTCTACATTGATGGAGGGATTTTTCTTACCTGGGAGTTCCCTATACCAATTAAATTACAGGTACGATTCTCATCCTTATTTTTGTTATAAGATATAGAAGTACAAAGAGGAGATGGTTGTTAGAAGTGAGAGCCATGCTGCTATTTTCAATTAAGTGTAATGCACAAACAATAATTCCCCATGTCTATACATTTCTGTGCAATGCATACATGTACCTTGCCTTGACTGTTAAGAAATTTCGTAGGATCACAAATCTAGAGCTTGAAGGTACCTTAGGGGCCACCTGGCAACTTCCTCACTTTGTAGATGAAGAAACTAAACTCCAAGGTCACAGGATTTTAGATTTTAGAATTAAAAGGGAGATCAGAAGTCATCTAATCCAATCCTCTAATTTTGCAGATGGGGAAATTGAGACCTAAGGAGATTCGGTGGCCTCTCCAAGGTCACGTGTCTAACAGAACAAGTGACAAAAGCCAGGGAGTGAACCCTGGGTCTTCTGAATTCCAATTCAGCCATCTTTTCTGCGTAACCTTGCAACCTTCTACCCGCTAGTAAGCTACATGGCACAATGGATAGAGTCCTGAGCCTGGAGTCAAAAAGACCTGAGTTCAAACCAGACCTCGGATACTTACTAGCTGTGTGACTCTGTGTGACACTTACTCTCTGTCTGCCTCAGTTTCCTCAACTGTAAAATGGGGATTTAATTAATTAATTCAGACTATTCATTGGAAGGACAAATACTGAAGCTGAAGCTTAACTACTTTGGCCACATAAGGAGCAGACAAGATGCGTTGGAAAAGACCCTGATGTTGGCAAAGATTGAAGGCAAAAGGAGAAGGGGATGGCCAAGGGGGAGATGGATGGATAGTGTTATGGGAGCAATGAACATGAGTTTGGACAGCCTTAGAGAGACAGAGGAGGATAGAAGAGCCTGGAGTGTTATGGTTCATGGAGTCATGAAGAGTTGGACAAGACTGAACGACTAAACAACAAAAATGGGGAGAATTATAGGGTTGTTGGGAGATTCAAACAAGATAATACTTGTAATGGTGTTTAGCACAATGCTTAGCACACAGTAGACACTCAATGAACGCTTCCCTCCCCTACTCCTCTGTTAGTAAGCTGCGCCAGAGGACTCTTGAGGATGCACAAAAATTATTAGTCTTACAGATTCCCCCTCTTTAGAGCTGGTATATGTTTACCATGGCTGGGGCCAAATCCTTCCCACCTCCTTCTTCCCAGCAGCATTTGGCCCATGTTTCTGAGATGACAAAGTCCTAGAGGAGAACCTGCCGTAAGACAGAACAGAGGTTACATTAACAATAACATCTACCTCTATTTCCTGCCCTAAGGCCATATTGACAACAGAGAAAATCTATACAGAAATGCTTTTTTTCCACCAAAATGTCTTTTTATTAGAGCTACTAGTCAGCCAGGGGATTGGAGTCTCTAGGGGATGTAGATAGAAGACCTGTTTCTTTGGGGAATTCACAGACGGCAAGCCTCATTTCCCATCTGTATAGAATTTAACACTTGGAGATCATTACATCCAACCTTGTTTTATTGTGAGCAAAGTGAATCTCAGAGAGGGGATACAAGACTTATTCAAGGTCACAAAGCCAGACAGAAACAGAGCTAGGATTAGAGCTCAGGTCTCCTTCTCTCCTATGGGTATCTTGGTTTTCCCTCTACAATACACTATCTCCCAGGACAAAGCATGTCTCCCTCTCCTATATGCTAGGAAAATAAGGGAAGAGATTAATATCCGTGGATGGGCTGCAGCCAGCTCAAAACAGAGTTTAAATTCTCAGTGTGAGTATTTACACCTCGCTAATCAGCAGATTCTACAAATCAGGGCTTTTTAAAAAATGTGTAAACTTAAGAAAATCATACAGAAAATGATGATAATGCAGATTAAATTTAAAAGTGTGTCAAGGATACATTTTTTTGGAGAGTCAGTTGTTAAACATTTACCAGATTATTTGCTGCCTGCCTCAGTTTCCTCAATTATACAAAGGGGACTTAATTAATTAATTCAGATTATTTACTGGAAGGACAAATACTGAAGCTGAAGCTTAAATACTTCATAATATAGAATACTTCATAAATAAAGCATCCCAAAAGTTTTAGTGCAGTTTTCAGCTTTAATAGTTACATATTATATTTTTAGTATACCCCATATGTTATTTTTATTCCACTGCATCCTTACATCTACTCGTATTTTTTTAGTCTCACACAGTCACCTTGTTAAGTTTTGTTGTTGTTCAATCATTTCAGTCATGTCTGACTCTTTGTGACCTCATTTGGGGTTTTCTTGGCAAAGATACTGGAGTGATTTGCCATTTCCTTCTGCAGCTTATTTTACAGATGAAGAAACTGAGGCAAACAGGGTCTTATCTAGGGTCACACAGCTGGTATACATCTGAGGCCACATTTGAACTCAGGAAGATGAGTCTTCCTGATTCCAAGACCACTGCTCTATCCACCACCATTTAAATGCCTACCTTATAAATTACTTTATCCTAATAAATAGTAGTGTATTCTATCCTTATTTGAACATGCAGAAACCGAGAAACTGAGAGTTGAAGGAACTTCCTCTAAACAACAGAGTCAGCAGTGTTTCGGATTTTGTTGGCTTTCAAAAAATATTAACTGCCATCCTAGAGAGCAGGGGGTTCTTAGAAACCTTTTTTGGATCATAGACCCTTTTGGCAGTCAGTCCAGTGAAGCCTATAGACCCCTTCTCAGAATAATATTTTCAAATGCATAAAATAAAATCCCCCCAGATTACAAAGGAAAGCAATTATATTGAAATACAGTTATCAAAATAATAATAAAACAAATTCATGGACCCCATGCTAAGGGCCCCCTGCTCTATAGACAGTTAGAACCTCCTGGCCCATTACTCTTTCTACTAGTCTACAATGCCTCCTTAAATGAAATGCTGGTCCAAATACCTTAACCCATGACTAGAGTAGTAACTATCACGTTGGTGTTAACACCAGAGGGAAGACTTTCTTCCCATAGAGGTCCTCTAGGCCTGCCAACCATGAGCCTCCGAGGCACCATAAAGGCCCTGGCCCTTCTCCAGGCCTGTACTCCCTTCCCCCTCAACCTTCTCTCCCCTCTCTCTGCTTCTTCCTGGGGAGTTGCCTGGAGCAACTGCCCTTAATGGGGACTGACTATTCTGTGCATCCAACCCTCACCCCTATCACCAATTTATCTTGGGTGTCCAGAGTTCTCCTTCATGCTCCAACAACCATCTTTTCCAAAGTTACTTCTTTCGTTATAACCTGGTTCATATAACCAAAATAGAATTTTTAAATTGCCAGGTGGCATTCTCAGGCACTTGGGATTATCACCTTTTGGTAACAAAAGGAAATAAGAAGGATTTTTGGATTTTTCAACACTGATGACCACTCTTTGGTCACTTAAATAATATTCACCCCCACCAATTTAGTAGACCTGTGTGCCCAGCTTTCCTCTAGTCTAGGCATATTTCTTCGTGACTCTTCCATTCCCACTTCCCTGCTCTGGTTCTCTAATTCTTACTGCCTGCTGAAGGAAAACGCCCTTTTTCCAGCATGATTCTCCATGGACTGGCCCCCCTTGTGTTTTCTAAGACAGAGCTGCCCTTTTGTTCTCAGCTCTGTGGGGAACAGACCCAGATACACCACTACAGGGCCTCTCTTCATGCCAGAATTTGTCCCTTCTTCAGCCTAGTTTGAAGGGAGGTGAAAGTCTGTTGGAAGCTGGGGCATATGACCAGGGGGATCTGGGTGCCTGTTTTTTTTTTTGTTCTGTTCTGTTTCTCCAGAAAGAAGTGAACGAACCATGGTGTAGTCCGCCTTACAGAAGCACAATTTATAGCCAGTAATCTAACGTGCTGAAGTATTCTTGCAAGACCAGCCTCTCAGATTACAGCTTTATGATTTGCCTAAAAATAAATCACCTATTTTAGGCCTAGACTCGAGAAAGAAGAAAAACAAAGTCTCAGGATAATTTTTTCCAAGTTTTCCATGGCACTTTCCATGACATGCTTCATGTTTTGTGCCAGGGGGAGGTACAGGGGAAAGCAAGTTGAGGTGTGTGTGTTTTTTTTTAATGGAGATAGAGGGGAATCAAGCAGAATTTTCCCCTTAGACTGTTTATGAGATTGAATTTCCCTCGCCTTATATATTATTATCCATTGTAAGACTTACAAAACTAATTTACCATGTGTTAAAAATTATTTTAGCTCATGTCAAATATATACACATATGGATATAGCTATACATATATGCATGAATATATATATAGTAGATATGTTAAACACACACATATATACATACATATATATATATATATATATATACATATAGTCAGAATTTTTCCCCTCAGATTCAGCTTATTCTTTGTAGATACTGTTTGTGTTCTCGTTGCCATGGTGACGGAGAAGGGTTAAAATCAGAGCCTGAGGAAATAGGGAAACTGTGTGGTAAAGTATTAAAAATTGTACACTTGCTCATTCAAAATATGCTTGTCAAATACTTCAAGAATTTTAATGTCACTTAACCGAAAAATAGTTTCCTGCTTCTGCTCGATAGTGCCTCTAAGAACAAAAGGAAGGGAGGGGGAGATAGATTAAGCAAACAGTCTGTGAGGAACATTCTAGGGAATCTGCTTTCTCACTCCCCAAACCTTCTTCTCTCCCACAGCCATTTGTCTTCACAGAGACAGAATATGCGAATGCCCAGGAAATAGCTCTGTTTTTGTTTTTGGATATCCAAAGAAAATGTCCCAAAACTATGAATCAAATTGGTTTCCTCTCTCTTTGATATCTCCCCTTTATATTCACCATGTAGGAGGAAGAATGTATGCATGTATGTTCGTGTGTGTGTGTGTGTGTGTGTGTGTTTTTCCTGTAGTTTGTTTTTCGTCTAGTTAAGAGCTGGATAAACAACCCTGGACCACACTGGACAGTGCCAAGAAGTTAAACATTTACCACCTAGAAGAATTCAAAAGCTTCTTTTTATCAGCTAAGAGATAGCCTCCTACAGATTGAAGGTCCTTCTTATTTCCTTAAATCTGGTGAGATTTTTTTTAAACACAGGTTCATTTTCCATCACTGTCACACAATGTGTCAGATGGCCATCATTGCTTTAAGGCACAGGGCCATTTCAACAACATTCAGTGCCTGGCTAGGTCAACAAACCCCATGGGATCATAGATTATAGATGGAAGGGGCCTTAGTCAGTTACCTAGAATACCCTCCCTCTTCTGTAGATGATGAAACAGGCTCAGAGGTTAAGTCACTTGCCCCAGATCACACAGATGGTGAAGTCAAGGCAGGCTTCAAACCTAGATCTTTTGATTCTAAAATATTGCCTTTTTACTCTTCTAGCCATCACCACCAAGTTCCAGAGAAAGACAGCATCCTTAGCAAAGAATGTGCATCTATACCCAACATTCCTTTACCTGGAAATTGTCCAGAAGGAGGAGAAAAGGTTTCAGAAGAGAATTTCAATTGAAAAAAAGTTTCAGTGGTATAGACAAAGAATGCCAGATTTGGCATCTGAGGACCTGGGCTTGAATACCTCCTCAGCTACCACACTCGCATTCTTTCGTTTATATCACTGAAACATTTTTTCAATTAAAACCCTCTTCTGAAACCTTTTTCTCCTCCTTCTGGACAATTTCCAGGTAAAGGAATGTTGACTATCAGTGGTTACTCTTTGCTAAGAATGCTGTCCTCTGGGCACTTGGTGGTGAGGCTAGAAGAGAAAAAGGCAATATTTTACAGTAGAAAGAGCATTGAATGTGGAATCAAAAGATTTGGGTTTGAAACCTGGCTTGGCTACATTAGCTGTGCCACATTGTGACTTAACCTTTGAGCTTTGGTTTTATCATCAGTAAAATGAAAATATTTCCACTACTCACCTAACAGGGTGGTAATGAGGAAAGAACTATAGAAACATGAGAGAGTATTAGAAATGTGTTGAATTGTTGACTCTCCATGTAGATTCCAGTCTTCAATCTCCTTTTCAGTTTTCTGGACTGTGTTTAACAGCTCCCAATAGCCTAGAACCCTGACCAAGTACTCCTCATTCTTTTACTTCTTAAGTCATACAAATAGCTCCTATTTGTTAAGAATTTTTTCTCATAAATAGTAACCATAAACAGTTTATCATAGACAGTATAATGAGGACAAAATTGTTGCCCTGCATTTGAGCACTAGCATGTTGTTTTTGGAGTTTTGTTTTGTTTTGTTTTTTTCTTCTTTTATACATGCCATTTCCAATATTTGCAG